ATAAAATAAAATTACTGCCACTACCCTGTTTCACAGCGAACGCCCCTCCCTGATGCCCCATTCAAGGCTATTTTGATTCTAAGACCAATGTTTATAGGTGAGTTTAAATAACCTTCTGCAAATAGTGTTGTAAAATGGCAAATAATGGGTAGGCCTCCTGTGAGTGGCTGGAGGAAGGAGGCATTGCCCTGCGAATGGAATGATTAAAACCAAACTACGTCACAAGCAGCTGTGCAGAAAAAAAAATGGAATTGTATTTTCAGCTTGTTCTCAGACGCCGGGCAGCTCTGTGCTGCTGAGGTCCATCTGGCACAATGAGCTTTCTCCTGCTGACTCTGCTGCCTTGGTTAGCCATGGATTGGCCTGCCCGGTCCTCTCATTAATCACTATGATGCATGGGTTTCTCCTCTGGCTTTTAGGAGGCTCTGGCTGCTAGCCACACATTCAGGCTGGGCGGTTACGCAGCACCCTGTGAGGCGTGACACATTCCTGCTGCCGCGAAGGCACCGGGCGACGTTTGGCACAGCTGCTCTCAAGTCTTGTGCGTGGGGTGGGGCGAAGGGAGGGGTGTGTTCTGATGCAACTAGCAGCCCTGGCACCTCGCTTTCCTCGTGGCATTGGGCAAAGGCTCACCCTCCCCCATTGCAACTTGACAAAAGGTGTGATTGCTTTGAAAACCCGCCCGCACAGGAATCGTTGCGTTCTTTTGCATGCTTTAGCTACCTTATCTGAAGAAAATGGCTCTGTTTTCACCGCTTTTCATATCAGGACAAGGCCAGCTTTGCTCCCAAAGTGTATTCTCACTGGGAAACAGTCCTGGTTTGCCCTCTCACTTACCCACTTCAGGGCCAATGCCAATGTAGGGGGAGATTTTCAAATGCATCTGAGTTAGCTGCCCCGTTTCCATTGAAAGTCACTGGGTTTAGGAGCTTTTGAAATCTCAGCCCCAGATGCATACGGCACAATCTTTGTAGTTTAAAAATAAGACTCCCATGGAATAAACCATTACTGTTATTAGACCAGAGGCCTCCACCATGATCAGGGCTCCTTGGAGCCTCGGGTGGCCGCTATCGCATCCCCAGAATACTAGAACTTCCCACTACACATGGGATGAGAATCATGAGGTTACAGTGCACGGAGGACACCATTTTGAAGAGCTCCCTGCCTCGGGATGCCAACCCTCCAGGATTGTCATGGAATCTCCAGGAATTAAAGATTAATCTTGAATTAAAGGTTATGTCATGTGATGAAACCTCCAGGAATACGTCCAACCAAAACTGGCAATCTCAGGCCTCTGCCAGCATGACCTCACACGCACTGTGTGTGCAAGGTCATGCTGGTTGGGGTGAAGCAGCACGCTTTTCAAAATGGCATCCTCCCCCCCCCGTCTGGGAGACCAGACAAAACCACATCCAGTTTTGTCTCCATACCGGACAGGGGACAGGACCATAGAAAAGAGGATGGTCTGGCTTAAATCTGGATGAATGGCTAGCCTACTGGTGCTAGGTGCTATACAAACACATAGTAAGGGACAATCTCTACTCCAAAGACAGTCTAAATAGGTAACACAGACAGAAATGCTGCCTGTTTTAAATCATGGAATATCAGGGTTGGAAGGGACCTCAGGAGGTCATCTAGTCCAACCCCCTCAAAGCAGGCCCAATCCCCAGACAGATTTTTGCCCTGATCCCCTAAATGTCCCCCTCAAAGATTGAACTCACAACCCTGGGTTTAGCAGGCCAATGCTCAAACCATCAAGCTATCCCTCCCCCCCGACTAATTATTGTTTGTGTATAAAACAGGAAAGATGTATGTTGAGGGGGACTAGGCAAAGAAGGTCAGGTTTCCAGAGGGAACTAGTTTGGCATGACACTTGGAGCTCAGGAATGCAACATGGTTCCAACTGCTACTTGACAAATGCAGGCCTCTCAATGGATCACACTGGCCTCTGAACATGCTCAGTAAAGATCTTTCCTACAACTCTACCTACCTGCTGCCTCGCTGATTGCTAGTGAAAAATTCCCCTTTAGGTCTTCTGTTTGTTTGGAACGTTTCAATGTATTTCTACTTCCGCTGGACTTGAGCTTACACTGCCAGCGAGAGAATGCTGGGAATCCCCCAGTTCTCCGGCTCAGTTGCAACAGGGATGCTGAAGCAGAATGTCAAAATGAGCCGCAGTGACGGAAACCTGCCAGACGCGGCACCGGCATCACCTTGGTTAGTATTACATAAGGTGAAGGACAAGCTCCTGATTAAAAAGAGGGAGGAAAAGTTGATATATAGAGGGAATATATCACAACTTCCTATTCAGGGAGCTAAGAGAGCTGTTTATTTTGCTGACCTGGCATTCCTAACCTGATGGGATTGAAGCAGGAAATGAACTTGTAGGAAGAACCTTGCAAACGTGACTGTGTGACCCATCTGCAGTGTTTCACGGTATCATTGTCTGGGGACAGCAGTAGAAACCACTTCAGATACTAAAGCACAGACATTCCATTGCTTTGCTTCTGGCTTTAGGACTTTCAGTGCATACAGACAGTCTCTCCGGAATATCCCCCTGGATTTCATCGGGCTTTCAGCATTCCGATCAGGCGGCAGAAGCATTTGTTAGCACAGCTCCATGTCATTCTTTGCTCTATCCCAACAATGGTTTCTTGGAAGCCCTCCATGACACGTGGTGAACTTTGGATGCCATAAAAAAGAAGCAGTGCTTTTCCACCGCAGTCTCCTGTGGTTTCCTTGGCAATCCATTACTGTCAGACTGCAGAAAGAAGGCCGTGAAGAATAATTATACATATTTATCTGCTGTGCAATGGAATGAAAACAAAAGGTGAGACCAATGCTGCTCCATATTGAAATTGTGTGAGAGCTTCTTAGAATTTCTGTGAAGGACAAAACATCCCCCAGCTTTGCAGATTCTTTCACAATTAGCTAAATCCTCTAGCACAAACCTGTCTGGCATCCAGCAGCATTATCACAGCTGTAAAAGCCTTAGCTAATATAAACTGTTCTTCTTTCAGAAGGAGTTTACTAAACATTTAGCTTTTATTTTTGTACTGTCATCACAGTAACCCATAGCTCTTATCCAGCACTTCTCATCCTTAGTTCCCAACTTAAGAACATAAGAACGGCCATATTGGGTCAGACCAATGGTACATCTAGCTCAGAATCCTGTCTTCTGACAGTGGCCAGTGCCAGATGCTTCAAAGGGAATGAACAGAACAGGGCAATTGTCGACTGGCCCATCCCCTGTCGTCCAGTCCCAGCATCTGGCAGTCAGAGGCTTAGAGACACCCAGAGCATGAAGTTGCATCCCTGAACATCTTCGCTAATAGCTATTGATGGGCCCATCCTCCATGAACTTGTCTCATTCTTTTTTGAATCCAGTTATACTTTTGGCCTTCACAACATCCCCTGGCAGTGAGTTCCACAGGTTGACTGTGTGTTGTGTGAAGAAGTCCTTATTCACATTCTCTACATCCTTCATGATTCTATAGACCTCAGTCATATCTCCCCTTAGTCGTCTCTTTTTTAAGCTGACCAGTCCCAGTCTCTTTTAATCTCTTCTCATATGGTATCCATTCCATACCCCTAATCATTTTTGTTGGACTTCTCTGCACCTTTTCCAATTCTAATATATTGTTGTGGAGACGGGGTGACCAGAACCACATGCAGTAGTCAAGGTATGGGCATAGCATGGATTTATATAGTGGCATTATGATATTTTCTGTCTTATTATCTGTCTCTTTCCTAATGGTTCCTAACATTCTGTTAGGTTTTTTTTTTACTGCTGCTGTACATCGAGCAGATGATTTCAGAGAACTATCCATTCTTATGGACTTATCAACATTGAATTTCATCTGCCAGTTTGTTGCCTAGTCACCCAGTTTTATGAGATCCTTTAATAACACTTCACAGTTAGCTGTGGACTTAATGATCTTGAGTAATTTTGTATCATCTGCAAACTTTTGACACCTCACTGTTCACCCCCTTTTCCAGATCATTTATAAATATGTTGACCAGCACTGGTCCCAGTACAGATCCTTGGGGAAACCCATTATTTACCTCTCTCCACTGTGAAAACCGGCCATTTATTCCTACCCTTTGTTTCCTATCTTTTAACCAGTTACTGATCCATGAGAGGACCTTTGCTTTTATCCTTACTTTGCTTTAGAGCCTTTGGAGTGGGAACTTACCAAAGTACTTTCTGAAAGTCCAGGTACACCATATTAACTAGATCACCCTTGTCCACATGCTTGGTGACCCCCTCAAAGAATTTTAATAGATTAGTGAGGCATGATTTCCCTTTACAAAATGTTGACTCTTCTTCAACATATCATGTTCATCTATGTGTCTGCTAAGTCTGTTCTTTACTATAATTTCAACCAATCACCTCTGGAAACTTTTTTAAAAATCAGAGTTACGTTAGCTATCCTCCAGTCATCTGGTACTGGGGTTTATTTAAGCAATAGGTTACATACCACAGTTAGTTCTGCAATTTCATATTCAGAGCTTCAGAGCTCTTGGGTAAATATCATCTGGTCCTGGTGACTTATTACTATTTAATTTATCAATTTGTTTCAAAACCTCCTCTACTGACACTTCAGTCTGGGACAGTGCCTTAGATTTGTCACCTAATAAGAATGGCTGAGGTGTGGGAATCTCCCTCACAACCTCAGCCGTGAAGACCAATGCAAAGAATTTATTTAGCTTCTCTTCAATAGTCTTGTCTTCCTTGAGTGCTCCTTTAGCACCTCGATTGTCCACTGGCCCCACTGACTGTTTGGCAGGCTTCCTGCTTCTGATGCACTTACAAAAATTTCCTGTTAGTTTTTGTGTCTTTTGCTAGATGCTCTTCGCATTCTTTTCTTTTTTTCTTTTTCTTTTTGGCCTGCCTTATTATATTTTTAAACTGGACTTGCCAGAGTTATTCTCCTTTCTATTTTCCTCACTAGGATTTGACGTCCAATTTTTAAAGGATGTCTTTTTGCCACTCACTGCCTCTCTTATTCTGCTGTTTAGCCAAAGTAGTATTCTTTTGGTGGTCTGACTGATTTTTTTATTTTTTACTTTGGAGTATGTATTTAGTTTGATCCTCTATTATGGAGTTTTAAAATAGTTTCCATGCAGCTTGCAGGCATTTCACTCTTGTGACTGTTCCTTTTAATTTCCATTTAACGAACATCCTCATTTTTGTGTAATTCTCCTTTTTGAAGTTAAATGCTACTATAGTGGTTTCTTTGTCATTTCCCGCCCTACTTGGATGTTAATTTTAATTACATTATGGGCACTGTTACTGAGCAGTTCAGCTATATTCACCTCTTGGACAAGATCCTCTGTGCCACTTAGGACTAAATCAAGAACTGCCTCTCCCTTTGTGGATTCCAGGACTAGTTGCTCCAAGGAGCAGTCATTGATGGTGTATAGAAATTTTATTTCTGTATCCTGTCCTGAGGTGAAATGTATCCAGCTGTTCGGAACGGGCCTCATCCCCACCATGATTGAATTGGCCACGTTAGCACTACAAAAAGTAATTTCCCCTCTGTTGATATTCACCTCTTCTTGTCAACTGTTGGGAATGGGCCATATCCACCCTAATTGAATTGGCCTCGTTAGCACTGACCCCCCTCAACTTGGTAAGGCAACTCCCATCTTTTCATGTACGGCTATATATATCTTCCTACTGTATTTTCCACTCCATGCAGCTGATGAAGTGGGTTCTAACCCACAAAAGCTTATGCCCAAATAAATGTGTTAGTCTCTAAGGTGCCACATTTCGTTGTTTTTGCTGAAATCCCCCATTATTAGTGGGTTTTCTGTTTTTGTAGCCTCTCTCCCTAATCTCCCTGAGCATATCACAGTCACCATCACCATCCTGCTCAGGGGTATATTGCTATTGTGATACTCTTATTATTTATGCATGGAATTCATAGGTTAGTATCTGCACTTTACAAGTGAGGAAACTGAGGCACAGAGTGAAAGTGACTTGAGCAGAGCTGGGAAAGAACGCAGTTTATCTGAGTCACAGTCTAGCACTCTACCCACTAGTCCATGCTGTCCTAGCCAAAAGCCTTTCCTTTCACAAAGCTAGAAAGAGCGGCATAACGAGATCCAATGACAGCAAGCTGAAGAGGAGAACTAGTATAGATTTTTAAGTGAGAGCAATTAACTGTTGGAACAGCTTCCCCGGGGACATGGTGGCTTCTCTAGCATTTGCAGTCATTAAGTCAAGGCTGGCTGTCTCCAAAACGATGCTATAACTCATAGAAAAGTTATGGGCTTCTGCAGAAATTACTGGCTGAGGTTCCCTGAACTGTTGTACAGGAGGTCAGACTAGATGATCATAATGGTCCCTTCTGGCTTTAAAACGGATGTCTCTATAAATAAAACAAACACCTGTTTAACATTATCTTTTGCTGCATTTGCATAAGGTGCCCAAGCAGTATGCCCATTGGCTGACTGTTTGCTTTTGCTTGGACTGATGCCTATATCTCATTTTGCTCTACCACCCATGCCAAGGACACTACTTCCAGGGTCAGAGCCTTAGCTGCAATAGAGCTATGCACGGACGGAAGAGGGACATAAGAAGAGCTCTGTGTAGCTCGAAAGCTTGTCTCTCTCACCAACATAAGTTGGTCCAATAAAATATATCTTCTCACCCCCCTTGTCTCTGATACAGGAAGATATTTAAGCACATGCTTAATGTTAAGCATGTGAGCCGTCCCTTTGAGGGATTCACAGGCTTACGATTAGGCATTTGATTACATACCTTATTGAACCAGCGTCATAGTTACAGTGGGTTTATATGACTTGGAGCATCTTTTAACTATGGAGCTGTTAGCTCATGTCTACATAATTGGATGCTGTGAAGCACGCAAATAAGCAGAAAGTGGAGGAAGCCTGGTTCTGCAGTGCTGATCTGCAGCGGAGAGATCAAAGTGGCCTCTGCAGTTCTGCAACAAAACGCCCCACCAGATATTAACCTAAATGTTTCTCAGTGGCAGTTTAAATAAAATCAGTGTTTTTTCTCCTATGCCCTGCAGTGCAAAGCTGGGTCACACATCAACTCCAAGTGCATGACTTTTTGGTTCAATATGACAGCATTCCAGCGTCCTCCACCATGGCACGGCACTAGATCCCCATCTGTATTTTGTATTTTTGCTGCCAGAAAAAGAGAAATAAATGATTAACCCTCATGGTAACACCGTACCGAGACTGATTGATTGATCAATGCATAAAATATTAATGAAATGCCAGCCCAGTTCCAACTGAGGGCCACGTCTTCTGCTGGTATAAATCGGTGTAGCTTCATTTCATAGAACCATAGGGTTAGAAGGGATCACAAGGGTCATCTAGTGTAACCCCCATAATAAGCGAGCGCTTCACCATTTGAGCTAATTCCCCATCACCTCACAGGCAATGGAGTTTTGTTGATTTGGAGGCAATGGTGGAGTTATGCTGATTTTATACCAGCTGGGTATCTGGCCTTATCTGACCAAGCCTAACTTTTATTTAAAAAACACCCCCATACTAAACGTATGGGTCTGTTGCAACACACGGGAATTTTTTGAGCAAAATGAGAAGCTCCAGAATATGTGTTGGATGGATTTCAACTACGGGAAGAGTACTTTACATAGGGTTGAAGGGATGTAATGGCCAAATGTGGGACTAGCACAGAACTTGCACTAGTGCCTGCCCTGGACTTAGCATTTAGGACCTTCAGCAAAAAGGAGGAAGCCTGCATGAGCATGTTCATGCAGCAGAGTTGCAGATTGCTGGGCATAGCCTCACTGGGTCCAGCTGTAGCCTCCACGATGGAGCAGATTTGTCCCAGCCGTCTGTGGTTAAAAGACGGATGAGCCGAAATGAGAAATAAACTAGTAAAAATGGATAACACACAATGAGCTCAAAGAGAAGGGGTCTGGGCTTCAAAGAACAAGTACAAGAAGACTAACATGACTCTACTAATAACTCAGAGTCCATCTCAGGATGGACAGACCAGAATTATATCAGCCTCTCCAAAATCCAGGATTCCTCAACCCTTGTGACTGCCTGCAATGGGAGAATGAGTCCCCGCCCGCCCCCCCCCCCGTCTTTCCAATGGCAATCCATCATGTGACAATCTGGAGTCATCTGGAGCATGACCAGGAGCAGGACAGGCTGGAGTCAGCTCAGTTCAGAACTGCAGGTCACCAAGTGTCAAGATGACCCTTTCCCGGCACCAGTTCTCAAGCAAGCTCTCCACATAGAATCATAGAAGATTAGGGTTGGAAGAGTCCTCAGGAAATCATCTAGTCCAACCCCCTGCTCAAAGTGGGACCAACCCCAACTAAATCATCCCAGCCAGGGCTTTGTCAAGCCGGGCCTTAAAAACTTCTAAGGATGGAGATTCCACCACCTCCCTAGGTAACCCAATCCAGTGCTTCATCACCCTCCTAGTGAAATAGTATTTCCTAATATCCAACCTAGACCTCCCTCACTGCAACTTGAGACCATTACTCCTTGTTCTGTCATCTGCCACCACTGAGAACAGTCTAGATCCATCCTCTTTGGAACCCCCTTTCAGGTAATTGAAGGCTGCTATCAAATCCCCCCTCACTCTTCTCTTATGCAGACTAAATAACCCCAGTTGACTCAGCCTCTCCTTGTAAGTCATGTGCCCCAGCTCCCTAATCATTTTTGTTGCCCTCCATGGGACTCTCTCCAATTTGTCCACATCCCTTCTGTAGTGGGGGGGCCCAAACTGGATGCAATACTCCGGATGAGGCCCCACCAGTGCCAAATAGAGGGAAATAATCATTTCCCTCGATTTGCTAGCAGTGCTCCTACTAATGCAGCCCAATATACCGTTAGCCTTCTCGGCAACAAGGGCACACTGTTGACTCATATCCTGCTACTAGTCCACTGTAATCCCCAGGTCCTTTTCTGCAGAACTGCCACTTAGCCAGTCAGTCCCTAGCCTGTAGCAGTGCATGGGATTCTTCTGTCCTAAGTGCAGGACTCTGCACTTGTTCTTGTGGAACCTCATCAGATTTCTTTTGGCCCAATCCTCCAATTTTTCTAGGTCACTCTGGACCCTATCCCTACCCTCAAGCATATCTACCTCTCCCCCCAGTTTAGTGTCATCTGCGAACTTGCTGAGGGTGCAATCCATCCCATCATCCAGCTCATTAATGAAGATGTTGAAAAAAACCGGCCCCAGGACCGACCCCTGGGGCACTCCGCTTGATACCGGCTGCCAACTAGACATCAAGCCATTGATGCCTGTTGAGTCTGACAATCTAGCCAGCTTTATATCCACCTTATAGTCCATTCATCCAGTCCATACTTTTTTAACTTGCTGGCAAGAATACCGTGGAGACCATACCAAAAGCTTTGCTAAAGTCAAGATATATCACATCCACCGCTTTCCCCATATCCACCGAGCCAGTTCTCTCATCATAGAAGGCAATCAGGTTGGTCAGGCATGATTTGCCCTTGGTGAATCCAGGTTGACTGTTCCTGATCACCTTCCTCTCCTCCAAGTGCTTCAAAGTGGATTCTTTGAGGACCTGCTCCATGATTCTTCCAGGGACTGAGGTGAGGCTGACCGGCCTGTAGTTCCCCAGATCCTCCTCCTTCCCTTTTTTAAAGATCGGCACTATATTTGCCTTTTTCCAGTCATCTGGGACCTCCCCTGATCTCCACAAGTTTTCAAAGATAATGGCCAATGGCTCTGCAATCACATCAGCCAACTCCCTCCGCACCCTCGGATGCATTGCATCCGGCCCCATGGACTTCTGCATGTCCAGCTTTTCTAAATAGCAGGGCTTTGGAGTGGAGCCCGGAGCTGGAGCATGGAGCAGCTCCGGAGCAATGGAGCTGCAGGTTTTTGCCTGGAGCTGGAGCGGAGCCGGAGCACAGCTCCAAAGCCCTGCTAAATAGTCCTTTACCTGTTCTTTCACCACTGAGGGCTGCTCATCTCTTCCCCGTACTGTACTGCCCAGTGCAGCAGTCTGGGAGCTGACCTTGTCTGTGAAGACAGAGGCAAAAAAAGCATTGAGTACTTCAGCTTTTTCCACATCCTCTGTCACTAGGTTCCCTCCCCATTCAGTAAGGGTCCCACACTTTCCCTGACCACCTTCTTGTTGCTAACATACCTGTAGAAACCCTTCTTGTTACCCTTCACATCCCTTGCTAGCTGCAACTCCAATTGTGCTTTGGCCTTCCTGATTACACCCCTGCATGCTCGAGCAATATTTTTATACTCCTCCCTAGTCATCTGTCCAAGTTTCCACTTCTCGTAAGCTTCCTTTTTGGGTTTTAGCTCACCGACGATTTCTCTGTTAAGCCAAGCTGGGTCACCTGCCATATTTGCTATTGCACCTCACATTCCGCCTGACAGGCAGTTACTCCCCTCCAGCAGCTCCGGGATGTCGGCCTTCCCTCCACTGAGCATGGTGGCTCTCCTGAGCCTGCTTGTTCTATTCAACACGCGGGGCTAGTGTGAGCTGGCCCAGTGCCGTGTAACCCCTCCATGTGGTGCTCTGTCCCTCGTGAGTGGTGGCTGCTAGGCCGTAAGAACATAAGAAAGGCTGTACTGGGTGAGACCAAAGGTCCATCTAGCCCAGTATCCTGTCTACCCACAGTGGCCAGTGCCAGGTGCCCCAGAGGGAATGAAGAGAACAGAGACTCATCAAGTGATCTATCCCCTGTCGCCCATTCCTAGCTTCTGGCAAACAGAGGCTAGGGACACCATCCCTGCCCATCCTGGCTAATAGCCGTTGATGGGCCTATCCTCCATGAATGTATCTAGTTCTTTTTTGAACCTTGTTATAGTCTTGGCCTTCACAACATCCTCTGGCAAAGAGTTCCACAGGTTGACTGTGCGTGGTGTGAAAAAATACTTCCTTTTATTTGTTTTAAACCTGCTGCCTATTAATTTCATTTGGTGACCCCTAGTTCTTGTGTTTATGAGGAGTAAATAACACTTCCTTATTTACTTTCTCCACACCCAGTCATGATTTTATAGACCTTTGTCATATCCCCCCTTAGTCATCTCCTTTCCAAGCTGAAAAGTCCCAGGCTTATTAATCATATGGAAGCCGTTTCATACCCCTAATCATTTTTGTTGCCCTTTTCTGAACCTTTTCCAGTTCCAATATATCTTTTTTGAGATGGGGCGACCTTTTTTGAGATGGCCTTGCCCTCTACATTGCCCAAGGTAACACAGCCTCTCACATCAAATTGTTTCTGAGACTCAGTAAAAGCTGGAGACAAGCAGACTGGGACAAACTGGATGGTTTAGATTAAAAGCAACGTGCTAAGGGGTCTGCAAGGCTGCCAGTAAGGTTATAGGTTGGCATGGCAATGAGCGGAAAGATTCCAGAAATCGGAGGGGGATGTTTTTATAGCTGAAGTCACTGAAATGTGGTTTCATTGTTCATGTTAATGAGATGCTGCTGCCACCCCTTCCTGGGCAGGGTTTGTCTGGGGGTGGCTCAGTGGGGGCAGGGAGACAGGTGGGCCGAAAGGAGTGAGCTCTACCGTCATGGCTGCCCTCCACCATTTCCTGAGACTGCGGGATCCGCCATGACGCCAACTTGATCGCGAAAGGCAGTTTGATCAGACCAGGCCAGGACACGGGAACCAGATGACAGTCGCCACATGCTCACACTACACCAAATCACACCAGTTGAATTCTACAAAAGAAGCTATGGTTAGAGTTTGTCGATATACTCATTGCAATGAATGTAGCCTTTTTTCCCCTGTTGGTGAGTTATCCATGAACAGGCTGTGACTTTTAGGGCTTTGGAGGTTATTCTCTGTTGTTTGTCAAATAGACTCTGCAAACAAGTTGGCTCCTGACTTGTTTGCAGACTGATCAACATGGCCCAGATCCTCAGTATCCAGTATATTGATTCCTATGGGAGTCAGACACCTAAATACCTTCAAATATCTGAGACTAATAGTATTCACTGTTCATCCGTGGAGTTGGTCAAAATATTTTGACGAACAATTTTCCCAGAATAAAAAAGAGGGTTGTCAAAATCAACATTTTTCATGGGAAAGGATCAATTTTTACTACATTCTCAGATTTTCTGATGGGAAGGTTTGAAACAAAAATTTTCACTTCCAACTGCCCGTTTGAAATGAAACTTTTCTTTTCACTCAAAAGTCAACAATTTTTCATGTCAACCTTTCCAAATAGCAAATTCTTAGCCCTTGTCATTCCATGAACATTTTCTGATATTTCAAATTTTTATTCTGTTTCAGGATAAAAACAAATGTCAAAATACTGAATTTCCCAGAGGAAGGAATTGTGTTTTCTGAACAGCTCTACTGATGAGTTGCTATTCATACCATGTGATTGGTTTGTATCCTAATAGGATGGCCTACGTGGATTTATAAACTCAGGCCACCTTTCTAGCCCCTGTTAAACAAGATGCTTATGCAGATGCTTAATCCGCAGCACCTGAGGAATATCCCATTGATTTCAGTGTTGAACTGGTACCTCTGTTTGTGAAGTAGTTCTCCATGAACAGGTAGGTTGTGATTTCTATTAATTGGTTTACAGTTTGTAATTGTTGAACAAATCTTTTGCAAATAAGGGGGGAGCTGCTCCTCCTGGCTGTGAGACCGTTTCCAGTGTGACTGCTCTTATGAATACTCGCTTTTCTTGAGCCCTCGGCTTTAGAGAATGTTCTTGTCCATAAAAGTTGCTGACCTGAACATTCATGATTTCGCATATACAAGGGGTGACAAATACCAGTGCAGTCAATTGGCAGGTTTTATGCACCAGGAGATTTGAAAAGACTCTTTGCTACATTTGATTTTAGACTGTAAGCTGTTTGGGGCGGGGGCTCTGATTTTCTCTGTGTTCAACATCAATAACTTGCCCAGCTCTAACGATGTTCTCAAGCAATTCAACACGTCTGAGTGGGATTTACTTACTATTAA